CGAACTTCACAATATGGTCACCTCTAAGAATCAGCCACTGCAAAACGTCGAGGAGGCAATGTTTGCTGCTTGTGAACAGGAGATGAGGATCTGGGTGAATCACAGTCATCTCGAATAACTCTGATTGGCCCAGATGCTCCAGTGGATGGTGTCGGGTCACCCGACACCCCACCGAATCCCACCCGACTCGGGTGGGATTCGGTGTACGGTGTAGGGGGAAAGGATTGTAGCTGATTGTTTATGAAAATCTTGCTAACTTGTTATCTCATCACTCAGAAACTGCTCTTCATGCCGTTTGATGAGGTGTTCGACGTTCCTACGAATGCTGCTATTTGGTGTAGGGTTTTTGAAATATGCATTCAAATTGCTATGATCTTATTACTACTACCCTCAACAATAAAGATCCATTATCATCATCTACAGTGACGAAGCTCGTTAGAATTGCTTTTAATGAGCATAAAAGGTAATGATTATGATCATTATGATAAGTATCGGCAATAATACTTTACTGTTAGGAATATGTTGGCATACAGGTTGTATTCCAATCCCTTAAGAAGCATCCCTGAGTATAATGATGATAATGAACATCATAGTAAAGCTAGACAATACAGTATGGCGTCAACAATACCATCATCATCTTCATCAGAGTAGTAATCATATTCTTCAATATCATCAGTAATAGTAACAGCAATATTAGAATCAGGTCCATTACCAGGATACCATTGACCAAGTCTAAAAGAAGTAATACCAAGACCCTATCATCATCATCATCATCGACCCTATCATCATCATCATCATCATCGACCCTATCATCATCATATGGCCCTTTACATGGTCCTATAACACTATCTGAGGATGTTGTTATATCCGCAGCTATTGAAGCTATTACCAATACAAGATGTCATGCTTATTACTGAGTAGTAATCGTCTTAATCGTCTTCGATAATCACTATTGTCATAAAGCCTTGAGTCCAGGCTCCTTCATAGGTCTAGTTGACCATGAGGAATATTTCTCTATATTTACTATGTTGAGTTCATCTATCTCCTTCCTCCTCAACACAAGCAGCATCACACATATTGCTGGATTGCACTTCATCTTGACGAGTTAATTCTTACAGTAACAATAGTACTACTATCACCATTAATATAGATATTATGTGGTAATAATAATAATTCATTATCACATATATAATCACCCCAAGATCTAAAACATACCTTTCAGACATGCTCATTTACGAATAGTGTTACCCTTCTACCGAGTGTTCTAAGGGATCTATCATAATCAGTAGTCAATGATATGAAGCAGCATGATGTATTGTATGAGTGATGCATTACCCGCCATCACGATGACTACACTACTCTATTAATAACACTTTGGAAGTATCTGATGAAGTATATCATCTACTTATATAATAGTTGTTGTATCAACAGCTATTGAGTGGCTCGTTACTGGGTGATACTTTGCAGTATTATTAATACCATTCTATGATCATATCCCATACTGGGCCTGTTTCATAGGAGCAAATTGCGCCTTAAACTTAAGTAACGCCTTAAGTATACCTTAAGTAATTAGGACATCCTATTCCACTACCTAAGTAAGCACGTTAAGGCGCCTTAAGTTTAGGAATACTTAAGGCGCCTTAAGTTTCTGTGCATTTACTTAAGTATTTACGAGGAGCATTTCACAACATGCGTACTTAAGGAGCAACTTAAGTATTCCTTAAATTTAATTAAGGTAGAGCCGACCCTACCTAAACAGATACTTAAGTACCGTGTTCGAATACTGCACCCCACAGGGGTTGAACCAGGGACCCTTCGAAGGACGATGCTTGAATATTGTATCTCGCAGGGGTCGAACCGGAGACCTTACGAATGGCAGCACGGTGCTCTCCCACTTGTCCAGAGAGGCAAAGAAATCGAGCCAAGAGTTCATTTCTTTGACGCAGCAAAATCCGAACCGAACTTCACAATATGATCACCTTTAACTTGAAGGCTTTAAGAATCAGCCACTGCAAAACGTCGAAGAGGCAATGTTCGCTGCTTGTGAGCAGGAGATGAGGATCTGGGTCAATCACAGTCATCTCGAATAACTCTGATTGACCCAGATGCTCCCGTGGATGGTGTCGGGAACGCTCTTCGTAAGAGCTACGTTCGCAGATAGTTGCAGCGACTTAGTTATATTTCGATGATTTGCGTATCCGTTGAGTTCACATGGGTATATTTTCCACTTAGCGGCGCTAAGTTAGCGGACCGTTGAGTGACTTATTCTAGGCAAGAATTTTTAGCTAACATAGTAATTCGTGGGAATGCAGCTCCCCTTGCAGTCTCGTTATCAATGGTAACTTACCACTGATACCTTATCCATGATCGAGGAGAGTAGTTGCTAATTTCGCAATGCGAAACAGTAAACGACCACGGAAACAACATACCTCTGATTCGAATCTGCGTCGACCGTATAGTGAATGGGCAACCTAACCACTCGAGCATTTACACCATAAAAGTTTAAATGTAACTCTATTCTATACCTGTAACCATGGTTAAGTAGATACTTAAGTACGCCTCAAGTTAAGGAGCTCCTTAAGTTGCTCCTAAACGTTGTGAAATGAGTTGAGTACTTCTTAAGTATACCTTAAGTAGCTCCTCAAGTTGCTCCTATATTTAAGGCGCCTTAAATTAAGTATCCTTGTGAAACAGGCCCTATATCGAACATCACAAAGGAGTCGGAAATTATGTTGTTCAAGTGAAGAGCCTTAGCACCTCAGCATTTTGGGATCCAGCTCGTAGTTTTCTAAGCTTTGATAGTTGAGTGGTTGTCATCTGAATGAAAACTCCTGCACATGCCATGGCCCTGGAGATCAGTCTCTTTGAAGAGATGCTAAGCAGGCGCGGTATGAACAGTGAGACGTCGGACATGCTCGGGGATTTCTGTGCGAACTTGAAGAGAACTCTATGGCTCCTGTCACCTCCTGAAGGGGAATTAGTGTTGTGTCCACCACCAGCATACATATTCGTGATGAATGAGGAACTCTGTGGTGTGTATCCAACCCCTACTGGTGTATATATTAGGAAACCATTAGAATGTGGGGAGGAGGTTATGGTACTACAGCCAGGCTATCATGGCACTACCACGGCTGCCTATTATTATCATAACTCACAACTATTCGTATTGTGCGAGGATAACCGCAAGTTGATTATCTACGACTTGGCGGGATCAGCAGGCGACCCGGGGTTTCCTCGGAGGTCCTTGGGCTGCCCAGATTGGCAGCGTGTTACACTCGTAAGATCGACATGGTCTGTAACGACAACTACA